TTAAATAAAGTTTTTAAATAAAGTCTATCTATCTATATATCTATTTATCTATCTATCTTCGAGGTCAAATACCACGAGAATTATCATTTTTTCTGCTGGTTTACCCACCAAATTTTATGTGATCACACTAGGAATTTTCAATATTAAAATTCTACGTCAGTTTTAAGGATTTGTAAGACATGTTTGAGGGAGAACTGACTCAGAGTTAAATACTGAGTTTGTGCCCTCAAAATTTTTTTTACAAATCCTTCAAAACGTAGAATTTACCCATGCAAAATTCCTACTGTGATCACAGAAACTTTGGTAGTGTAAACCACAGTGCCAAAGTCAGCCCGACAATTTGGTCATGCTATGTAAATTTTAAATTCATTATCATTATTCATTTCTTTAGCAATTGATTGTTGTCATGGTGTATGAACACGAAAATATTTACATAGCATGACCAAATTGTCGGGCTGGCTTCGCAAGTTCTCGGTAAGGGTGTGATATGTAGCAAATCTGTATCGCTGTTTTCAACTACAATCTGCTTGAATTTTGTCGTTAAAAGAAAGAAACGTTTGTCTAAATATGTGAAGTACATTCTTGTGGTTGTGATGTGACTTTGGTTGTGTCGTAAAGAAATTATGGCCGAGGGTTACGACACAAATCGCTTTCACTCTGCTGTTGAGGAGGGCTTTATTTGCGCTATCTGTCTTGGTGTTTTACAAGACCCGATGCAATGTGAGAATAATGAACATTATTTCTGTTCTGGTTGTATCAAAAAGCATTTGGAGAAGACCTCGCACAGTTGTCCTACCTGTCAAGAGAAACTGACTGTAGAGACTCTGCGTAAGGCACCACGAGTTGTCGTAGAGTGCGTTTCACATTATAAGATAAGTTGTGACCATGCAACAAGAGGCTGTGATGTAGTTCTAGAGCTTGGAGATCTACAAGCACACGTTCGGGACTGTGATTTCATGCCTGTCTCTTGTTCGAACGAGGGCTGTGATGAAGTGCTCAGTAAACGTGATGTGAAGAGTCATGAGATCGAGTTATGTCGTTTCAAGACAACGACCTGTGACGACTGTGGGAAAAAGATGCCTCGTCATAAATATGGCGCTCATATGGCTGTGTATTACGACGTGATTTTGATGAAATGAAGAAAGATCTGGCAGAAGTGAAAGTCACGCAACATGAAATGATGAATGAGATGAGGGAAGGCATGCAACGAATCACAATCGCGATTGAAAAGCTTGAAAAATCGTCTCGAAATGTTGCCAACGTTGTCAACTCCATGAATAGTGATATTGTTGTTGTTGGGGGTGTGGGTCCCGAAACAGATAAGGCCCTCTCTTCCGTGGAGCGTTTTAACTTCTTCAACCAAACCTGGACACCACTGGCTGAGTTGAAAATGGGTCGATTTGGTGCAGCAGCTGTGGTGTTTGAAAATCAAATACTTGTTTGTGGCGGAGTTATCGGTGACAACTCTGATGAACCCACAGATAGCATAGAAGTATTGGATCTGAATGTTAATCCTCCAACATGGCAGGAGTTTGCTGGCAATCTTCCTATCGAAGCGTGTGCTCACAAGTGCGTTGTTTATGGCAATCGTTTGCTGATTATTGGTGGCGGAACGAATGAAAAGAATTTCGATACGATATATGAGCTGCTCCTTGTTCCTCCATATTCATCCAAGTTGCTTTGTCACAGGAAGAAGGGACGAGCTGCACACGGAGTGGAGTTATTCCATGATAAGGTTTTGATCGCCGGTGGGAAAGGAACGGAAACTGATGTGGAAATATTCGACATAACAAGGAATGAATGTGTTGAAATGCCACCACTGCCAACTCCTCTTTGGGGTATGGCAACAGTTCGTCGTGATGACACCATGCTTTTGGTCGGAGGGCAAGACAACGAAAACAACAGCAATGAGATTATCGAGTATGATTTTAAATCTGGTCAGACTAAGAATCTAGCATGGACATGGACATGGACATGGAAACGGAGAGGTTTGGTAGTTCTGCTGTGTATAGTGGTAATGCTCTTGTTGTAATTAGTGTTACGAACGACGATTTTTGTTCAGTGAATTGTTTCAACTTCCTATCCAATTCTTGGAAGAAATTACCTTCTATCACTAAGGCAAGGTTATTTGCTTCCGCAGTGGTTGTAAATAACTTTGAATATTGACATTTTTTAATGAACACTGGAACACTAATATAGTAATGTAATATTGGCTGTAAAATAAACACAAATCAGATAAGACCACAAAGAACAGAGAATAGAACAATAGTTATTGCTTAACTATATAGAATTATTAACATTTAGCCAATAGGTAACCAAATGAATTTTGTATCTGCAACTGAATAAAACGTCTTTACAAAAATGTTTTAAATCCATAAAAAATGTGTTTTGTTTTGTGGACAACACCATGTTTATTTTGTCAAATAACTAAACTTGGTGTTCTTTACAAGTACCAGATAAAACATGAGCAGCCGATGTGTATCTGATATACAAACTCGAGCCGAAGGCGAGAGTTCAGTGTATATCAGATACACATCGGATGCGAGCGACCCATCTTATGAGTTCATTGGCGAAGTAATTTTAAAAATAAACATTGTCTAAGCCGAGAAAATCAAAGCTGAAGTTTATGTAAATCAGGACAAATCTTTATCCGATTTGCAAACATTGATTAAACATTCATTTATTTTGTATTTTCCTCGTGAATTATTAATGCCTTTTTTAATTATACTTATAAATCATGCTTGTTTACACTACAAACCCATAATTGTGGCAAAACTTATTGTGGACAGCGCTTGCGCAAACGAAATTTGTCCTATAACATTGTTGCAAAAACAGCTCCCTCTCCCAACACCGCGGAAAAACGTCTGCGCATGCGTCAACCTTACCTGTAATAGTATTGCGAACTTGATGAGAAGCTGTTCCGAACATTTCCGAAGGCTCAA